ACGCGCGCACTTCACCAAGGACATCCAGCTCCCTGGAGCGCCTCTTCCATCCACAAAGTGACTCAAGCGGCCGTTCTCAAAGATCTTTGCATAGGAAGAAAAAAATAATCAATCGTGTGCTCCAGGCAGACGTTTTATACAAAATCTGGATTTCAATTATAATTTTTAATTATTTTCAATTTGCTATTTACCTCCCACATGAGAGTGTTGTCATCATAGGTTTTGATCTCACTTGTGTTCACTAGTTTGCCCTGAAACGGTCCAAACCTGGTGCCTTTTGAAATTGTGCTTTTATCAGCAAATACTCCATAATGGGAAAGGCTTCCGCAATTAGTTTGGAGTATCGATAAACCTGAAAAATTCAAGACAAACTCCATGAAATTGCCTTCAGAGTCAGACTAGAAATTCTCATGAAAGAAAGAAAGAAAGACAGAAAGAAAGTAAGAAAGAAAGAAAGAAGTTAATTTACCTTCTGGGAGTTCAAATCCTTCGGTATCAACAGGTAGAAGATGACGATCAGCTAATTAATAAAAAAAAAACATGAGTTACAAACACAATTTTGGAAATTAAACATGAAAAACTAGAAGAATGTGGCATTTAAACAGAATGAAAGGTATGTTAATTGTACTTGGAACAACGTAAAATATTTCATTCACATTATCAGTATGTGTGCAACATAATACATGCTGCCAGATTTCTTTGTCTGTTTGTTTGTTTTTTCAGCACAATAAAATTGCTTTGTGCTATATAAATTCAAATGATTATTATATACCTGTTCTGGGAGGAAATGATAATCCAGATATGGCATGTCCAACATTTTGCCCTTGTTTTTTGGAATATCCGTACAGAACAGTGAAGAGGTCTTCCTCTGTAAAACTGTAGGTGCGCGTGTGTTCTGGCGATGTATCTGTGGCCTGCAGGCAGCTGAAACTGTCCTTAACCGGAGAGGATGAAGCCGAAGAAGACTTTCCACTGGACGGGCTGCTGAACTCGGACGGACAGCCGGTGCTCTGCTCATGTCCGTTGTACATGCTTTGTGACGGCTGCGTGTGCTGGAAATATGGCATGCTGGACACGTTGAGAATCTGCTCATGGAACGCCGCGGTTTGATGGCTGTTGTGGCTAAAAAAAGACGAAGTTCCGGCGAAGTTAAACGGCATGATTGTCTGTGCGTCGGTCACCATGCGGCCCAGAGACTTGAGCGGATGGAAGATGCTGTGCGTGCTCTTGAGGACGTCCGCGTAGTGCGCGCCGGGCATAGACGGGTAGACAGCCAGAGTCCTGTCCCTCACTGCGGGGTGACTGGAGAGAGACACCGACATCGCCACAGCTGATGAGGGGGGATCCGAGGAGAACTTCACTTGCAGTTTGTTTTCAGTACTGTAGACTGTAAAATATTTTAATTAATATAAAAATATCGTTGCTTCCATCTCATTGTTTTTTAAAATTTTTTTTTATAAAAGAGTCATTTCTTCTCGATTTTAGGAGTTTTCAGATGTTCATTTAGATTTTCTCCATCTGTAGCTTTAAAACTTGCAGTCTGGCACAACTTTGATTTGACTTAATTATTTCAAACAACAATTCAACTAATTTCATGTTGTTTTCTTTAAGTGTATATTGACCTATTTTGTCTTAATTCAAAATTAAAGCAAAAGAAGCATAATGAGACGTATTTTCACTCTTAAAAAGAAAGGTTCTTCAATGGTTCTTTGCAAAAGTTCAGCGAAGATCAAGAACCATTTTTATCTGGTTATCGCAATCTTTATTTTTAGGAGTGTAGGCCTACTACTGAGCAAGTAAAAATTTCCAACACAAACAAACCAAAAATACGACTTTCTAAATAGACAAATTTTGCCTGCAGAAAGTCAATTTAAAGAAATGTTTTAACATGCTTTGTAAATTAACCTAAAAACAAAATTATCTCCTCAGGATGACCGCAGAGATTCAAAATCAAGTTTCCAATATTGCCTACGAACGCGCCACTATCAGAGACTAATGAGGGTCGTGACACTACAGTTTAAGAACAGAGGGTCAGCAAGAAAGGTCACCATTAATGAAGCCTTTCCAACTCTTTTAAAAAGCATTAAAGGTGTCATGCGCCATAGACTCCTGACCTCAGCTGGTTATTGCACATGAAGAGTGGGCTTAAATCCATAATGGTAATGCAAAATAAAACACACATATAAGTTATCTGTCAACAAAACTAGAAAAATATTGTTGAGTGAAATGGTTTACAAAATGTTCTTACCGTATAGCGACTTGTGCAAGTCCTGAGATCCTCCTCTAGTGTTTGGGTAACTTTTGACTTGGAGGTTCAGGAGAGATGGCCTGAGGTCTTGTGTGTGTGAAGCTTGAGACAGGTCTGAAGACATATGGTCGAGTGTAAGAAAGCTACTAGAGAGGGGATGCCTTTCCCGGATCTGTGCTGTCATTGGTCAGTCCTGGGTTCATCCTCTGGGAATTGCACTTTAACACGTTGTAGCAGCGCTGAACCTCCTCTCACAGCTCTCTTTCATATGCAGCACAGTCTCTAATGTGTTAACTACTGCAGGCGCACTGTTAACCGCTCCTAACCGGGCGACGGTGCGAACGGCACGAGATCAGTTTAGAGGCTCTTTGTGAAATCGAAAGCCATCAGCGGCATTCATTTAACAGTGGGAATTAACTGTGTGCATGAACATGAAGTTTCAAAACAGACGAAGCATCTGCGGTAGATGATTTCATTCACAGCACCATTGACACCTCACAGCCAACCGTGCTTTATACATTACAAAAAAAAAAAAAAAAATGCAAAAGGTAAAGAAAGTCTTGGTGCAGGATTCAAAACTTTAACACAATTATACATTTTGAGCTAAAACATAATTGTTCTAAATATTAAGCACAATAACTATCATTGTTATGAATTATTTAGAATCTTTGGTTCTGCTTTGAGTCACATTTATTTTGTAGTTTTGTTTGTTTTTTTTGTTTAGCAAAATATAATAAAAATAAAATATTAAAACATTTTAGGTTACCACAAATAACAACAAAATATATTTGTTATTGTTATTATTAGCAGCAGCAATACTACTAATAAACTTATATAGTATAATAATAATAATAATAATAATACTTATTTAATAAATTGTTTACAAATTATAAAAAAAAGTTCTGTGGGTTCAAGGCAACTTTCGCATGCTTTTTTGTTTAACAAAAATATTTAACAAAATAAATTATTATTAAACCAAACAAATTATCAGGTTACCACAAATGATTATCTCCAGGAACAACGGAATCATACAGTTTTTATTCTATTCATAGATCCCGTTAAGTGTCTCATATATGCAGAGATAAATTCAACTAAATATGTGTATTGTCAGACTGGAAGAAGTGTTAATAAATGTGTTTTCTGACATTCTCTTAAATAAAACACAAGGTCTTGATTTTTTTTGCCGTCAGTGTATATAATCTTAATTTTACATGGGAAGAAACGTTATGTGGCACTTTTTATTTATTTTTTGGCGCTTCATCCATTTACTGGCAAAAACAGGCAAGCGCGCCTGTATTATTAATTCAACCTTTGTAATTATCCCATAACAAGGTTTTCCAGTTTTTTTTTTAATCTATAAAAGCTTTTATAAAGATCTATGCATCACACAATCGAAATGGAAAACATACGCCGTGAGATGTTTATAAATGTTGCAATAACAGAATTCTTTATTTACAATTCAATTTGATTCGACATCAAATAGCATCAGCAAAGCCATATTAGTTGACAACTTGCATAACTGTATTTAAATTTCTCTCGGTATATCTAACTTTGCATAAAAGGCTCACACTAAGATTACACACATCGATGCGGATGAACAGAGATGTTTATGTGAGAAAACTGGGGGAAAAAAATACATCTCAGGAGCACAACACTGTAAGCTTTCTCCAAAAAGTCCTTATAAATTACATATTGCTTCGATTTCCCATTGCATCATCTTCATTCTCACACATAACTGAGAAGGTAAAATCCAGACTGTACAAATAATAAAACCCACAACTGATCACAAACAAAACATGGAAAATGAGCAATATTGAGACTGGAGGAGAGAGAGAGAGTGCAGGTGCGTGAGGGAATGGAGAAAGAGAGACAGGCATGTATGTATCCAGCAATAGATGAGCAGTAATGAACTGGGTCGATCCTGTCAATGATTCACTATACAAATATAATACAGACAACTTTTGTAATTTACAAGACAGTAAAACAGATCTAAGGCAATATGCTAAGTTTTAGCATTTCAAGGTTGTTGCATTTAGCTCTAAGAAATTGGCAGACTATACAAAAAGACATTTAAAGTCTCAGAAAAAAAACCCAAAAGGTAAGGTAAAGACAATTTTAGGAAATTCAATAGCCGTTACAATTCCATTTATTTCTGTATTTTAGGACAAATGGCTCTTTTTGCACTAGCACTGATAAAAAGACTAGAAAACTCTGCACCACCTTCATATCATGGCTTATATTTATTTCAAAATCGTGACAATCTTTGGACTTTTCAGAGGGTAGTGGTAGGCTACATGTGCGACCTCAAAACTGGCTATTCTCCAATATGATAGTATAGATGCTTCTGGATGGCAGTCCTTGTTCAAGGCATCCAACATTCATCAAAATCGTGATCAAAAAAGCTTGGAATAAAGGAGTACTCGATTTAGTCGACAAATGTTAGCAGGTTCACTGAAATCGATTATTAAATCAAGTTTTTATCCCACACGAGAATGCAGGTGTTTCTCAAAGGACACAGAAAGTTTTGAATGGTGGGCAGAGTGACGCTTCACCCAAACAATGTGAAATCAAATTTGTATTTACAGCGTTCAAAAGGAAAAGCTAAAGCTATACCAAAACACCAGGTAGGCTATATTCGTACACAACCACGGCACCTTCAGCGCATAATGACAGAGCTGGTCGTTGCAAACCTCAGTTGCTGCTGGTACATACAGTATATACTTAATAAAACATGTAGCCTAGTAGCCTACTTTTTTTTTGTTTTGTTTTTTTAACACACCAGCTTGAACACAGATGACATGGCGATATTTTCAGCGAAAGCTAAAGCCCGACAATCTAATCCCGATACAAACCGTGTGCAGACATGAGACGAAAACGAAATGAAAGGTATGTTTAAGTCTACTGATCAATTCAAAGGCAAGGAAACTTGGCTTCGTCATCAAATAGGCTAGAAAACACAAACTGTATTGCGTAGCCTACATTACAGCGTTAAGAGTTCACGTGCCTGTAGTGACCGCTGATTCAAATCTGAACCGTTGATCCGGAGGTTTTCAAGACGGCGAACATTAATGTGAATGTAGGAATAGCCACGCAAAACATAAATGCTGCTTTTTTTTTTTTTAAATTTATTAAACATTTTTTTTGGCTACACCAGAACTAAAACCTGCTTTTCACTGAGGAACAAGTAGATTTGGACATCTTGTTTTTGTCTTTCTCAAAATAGAAACCACAACAATAATAATAATAAAAAAAAAATCTATCTTTAATACTGAGTTTGAACCGGGGAGCACAAATGTGTCTCCTGAAAAGTCCTGTACAAAAATTACAAAACAAAACAAAATAAAATCTCAAGTAATATTTATTGCTTGTTGTATTTTCTTACACACACCGGATTCTGCTTGTACCTATAGCGTCTGGCATGAAGCACGTCACTCCACACAACAAAGAAAGCACGCTTCAGTGTTGAGTTTATGGCTGTGATGGGTTCCTCCGGTGGGGCTCCCGGCTAAAGGCTTAGAAGCAAGCGAGTATCTGTACACTGTACACACAGAACCCTCCCAGACCCCCACCCAGGAAAGAAGGACCACCTCACCCCAGCTCCCCTTCCTTAGTACCATAGGAATCAGCACATCCTCATCTTCCCGCCAAACGAACACGCTCATCGTGAGAAATTCGCCCTCATTCCAGAAACAGTTAAGACCAGACTTTGAGGGGAGGAAGGGGAAATATACCGAAAAACAAAATAAAAAATAAATATAATACGAAAAAAATTCCCCTCCATTATTGGTATTTACAATCTACCAGCATTTCATTTTACTAACCACAACTAAACAAAATCAGGTTCTCTGAAACTACTGGACCAAGGAAAACAAAATCCATAGGTATGTTGAACTTTTTTCTTATTCTGAGGCAATTCATATGCACTCAGATTTCTAACCATGGTTTATAAAGAAATCTACAATGTTATTTAAAAAAGAAACTATACATTAGAATAAAACTTAATTTAATACACAATAAACCTCTTGACTAAATTAATTCTAATTTTACAAACCATCATCTGAATTCTCATAATCTATATGTAGACACTTTTTCAACATCATTCTATCTTTATTTGCACTGAAAAAAAAAAGAAAACAAAAAGGCAAAATGGCTGAATTTTGAGCGTGGATTATAAATGCAGTCTTCTTGCCTGTTTTGGAACGTCAGATTGGAAAGAAGTCAGAGAGAACGATGGTTGGGCAAAAGAACGTCTTCTTAAGAAGAGTCTGAAGTCCAGTGGACGAACCAGGAAGAAAGACAGGGAAAAAGAGAGGGAGGAATACATTCAAGGGAGACAAGGATTCCGATGTCACTGTCACAGAGTCTTTTCAGGGGAGACCTAAGTCACACTACGGTGAATGCAACGGAGCAGACTGACTGAAAGGGCTTGCAGTGTAAGTACGAGACAGAAGGCCGTGCTCGACTGAAGGAGGGGCGGGGGATTCTAGGTCAAAGTGTCAGAAGATCAAAGTGTCTGTGTGTGTGTGTGTGTGAGCGAGAAAGAGAGTGAGGCAGAGTGTCCATCCCCTCTGAGCTCCAGTACCCCTGATGCAGCCTCTAGAGATGTCCAGTAGGGGGCAGTAGACAGGCTCTCTAAAGACCCCTACAGCCCCGATAGCAGCTTAAACAGCACAGCATCACTCCAATCTCTCCTTGATCACACTGCAGCTGAAAATCACTCATCAAACATCTTCATTAAACTCGGTTTACTGTATTGGGATGTCGTCTGCCCCGGGTCAACAATACTTCTGCTGTGGGAAAGAGAAAAAGAAACCTGGCCTTAGACTCAAAACCATAGAATCAATTCAAAACCATAGAAGCATATTTTTCACAGAAATAATATTTAAGGTAGTTTTTTATGCCAGAGTGTTCACAAAGTATATTAATTAACAATAATTGAGTTATATGGTAAAAAAATAAAAATAAATAAATGTTTGAGCTTAACCGTGTTTACTAAATGTCCTGTGCTCTATGCATGAGTTTTGATCACTGTTTACATGTAACTGAAAACCTAAAATAAATGTGCTCCTGTAAAGTGATCATCAAAAGACTTAACTGATTTAACGGCTTGATTCATATGGAGTCACTTTATGATGCCTTTATAACCATTTTGAATCTTCTAGGTTTCGGTTACCTGGATTTTCAACGGAAGGACAGAAACCTTTTCAGGTTCCATTAAAAATTATCTTCATTTGTGTTTCGAAAATGAACCAAAACCTTATGGGTTTGGAATGACATGAGGGTGAGTAAATTACATTTTTCATTTTTAGATTAACAATCCCAGCATGAATCATGGCATGAATAAATCATATGAACTACTGTTTTAATGTTTTCTGGGTTATTAAGTGGTGTTGTTGTATTTGTCATGTGGTATTCACTGCATATATGCTTCTTAAATATGTGGCTTTTTTTGCCACTGTCCATTTTTCGCATTTTACATATCCATTTTTGAAATAAAAAAAAAAAAAATATTTTTAAATATATACACACAAAACAGAAATATATGAGAATATGCTTGTGGAATATTATTTTGCATGCAACTAGAGGTTTCCTTCTTTCTTAGTTTCTTTACATTATTTGTATATTTCGGCAGCTTTGACTAGGTGGACCCTGAGCCAAAGAAATACTGTAATAAATCATGACAGGTAAAGTACTTTTTAAAAGCTCTTGTAACCCAGTTTCATGTACCCCTCACTAAAATGTGTTGTAATGCTAAACTTTGTGTTGCCATGAAGAGATAATTACAGCTAAGAAACAGAGAGTAATAATTCATTAAACCTCCACTAATGGCAAAATGCTAAATTATTAAAAGACTTGTGACTATACACACATCTTGGGAATAAATCAGCAGACTGAGAATTCAACGGCCTATGGACTTACAAAAACAAGAAGTGCACACAATCAAACTGATGCAACTTGGTTAAATATTCATACTATTTAATGAAACTTTACTATGTAACTGGTGAGAGAGTGCATCACTTAAGATATATGAATATATTAAAGAACTATTTTAAAAGAAAAGATATTAAAGGATTAAAAAGTTTGGGGTCAGTAAGATTTTTTTTTATGTTTTAGGAAGAAGTTTCTTATGCTCACCAAGCCTGCATTTATTTGACCAAAAATATAGTAAAAACAGTAATATTGTGAAATATTATTACAATTTAAAATAACTTGTCTATTTGAATATATTTTGAATGTTAAAGCTGTATCAGCATTTCAGTATTACTCCAGTCTTCAGTGTCACATGATCCTTTAGAAATCATTCTAATATGCTGATTTGGTGCTTAAGAAACATTTTTGATTATTATCAATGTTAAAATAAGTTGATTCATATTTTTGTGGAAATGTGATCTTTTTTCAGAATGTTTTGCTGAATAGAAAGTTCAAAAGATTTATTGAAACAGGAATATTTTGGAACATTATAAATCTCTTTACTGTCACTTTTTATCAATTTAATGCACCCTTACTGAATAAAATATTAATTTCTTTTAAAATCAAATTAAAATCAAAATAAAACCCCAAACATATACATATATATTTATAACTTATACACACACACACACACACACACACACACACACACACACACACAGAATAAAAAGCAACAAAAAATGCACTTAAAACTATTATATATATGATTAAACCACAATATCGGATATTAATGTTTAGTTAGATGGGAGTTCAGGGAGTGCAGGAATGTGTGTGCGGGCATGTTTGGTCAAACCCTAGCTGACTTATAGACGTCACGTCTGATATTTAGCACTCAAAGTCTGTCATGTCTGCATACATGATCTCTTTATCCACCTCAAACGGGCACTAATTGCCAGCAACTAATCACATCACTGTCCTATTAGGCCTAGTTCTGCATCATTCCTCTCATCTGCAAAATTACCCAGGATAATTAGAGTAAATTATTAACGAGCTAGTTGCAGAGTCAACTACGCTATTTGGTGACCTCAGACACGTAAAGTCTGACCATTAGACATTTTATCTCTAATGGTTCGAGTAAATAAATGCATCCAATAAATCTACGGCGCATCGCTTTCTACTAAACTCCTGGGTGGAACATTGAGGAGTTTAAATGTGCTTCATTAGCGATCAAAAGTTTTAGTTTGATCAACGCTGCAAAGTAGTTTCACTCTAAAGATGGGTTTTTAAAGTAGCTCGAGCTTTTAAACCATCTAGTTTAGTTGACTGTTGGGAACAGTGGAGCTCACATGGGCTCCCAAAAGGCAATAAACGTTCACACTTTTTTTTTATAGACAAAGGTGTCACATGACTCAGAAACTGACTGCGTATTTGTCTAACCTGTTCAGGGCCCATGTTGGCCATGCTGCCCCCAGGTCCAGAGTTCATAGAGCTCATGCTCATCTGGTTGCCCATTTGGCCCATGTTACTTGAGTTGGTGGCCATGGACACGTTGAGGTTCATGCCGTTACCATTGTACATGTTGTTACCGGCCTGCTGGGCAAACTGAGGTGGCGACTGCTGAGTGAACATACTGTGGAGGGAAGCAGATAAATGTATAAGATCCTTCAGGTGGTAAAAACATTTTATTTAGCTTCCTGAGAAAATTTTTTTTTTGTGTGATACAAAACCAGTATTATTTATAAAAATATAGTGGATTTTGCCGTTCGCCATGACACTTGTTATGAGAAATACTGCAAGTGCTGTTATCACTAGAATATTGCACCGCTGGAAAAGGCTCTCAGCCAATCAGATTCAAGGACTAGAAAGAACTGTTGTGTGTGTGTGTGTGTATATATATATATATATATATGTACACAAATTCAACGGCCTATGGACTTACAAAAACAAGAAGTGCACACAATCAAACTGATGCAACTTGGTTAAATATTCATACTATTTAATGAAACTTTACTATGTAACTGGTGAGAGAGTGCATCACTTAAGATATATGAATATATTAAAGAACTATTTTAAAAGAAAAGATATTAAAGGATTAAAAAGTTTGGGGTCAGTAAGATTTTTTTTTATGTTTTAGGAAGAAGTTTCTTATGCTCACCAAGCCTGCATTTATTTGACCAAAAATATAGTAAAAACAGTAATATTGTGAAATATTATTACAATTTAAAATAACTTGTCTATTTGAATATATTTTGAATGTTAAAGCTGTATCAGCATTTCAGTATTACTCCAGTCTTCAGTGTCACATGATCCTTTAGAAATCATTCTAATATGCTGATTTGGCGCTTAAGAAACATTTTTGATTATTATCAATGTTAAAATAAGTTGATTCATATTTTTGTGGAAATGTGATCTTTTTTCAGAATGTTTTGCTGAATAGAAAGTTCAAAAGATTTATTGAAACAGGAATATTTTGGAACATTATAAATCTCTTTACTGTCACTTTTTATCAATTTAATGCACCCTTACTGAATAAAATATTAATTTCTTTTAAAATCAAATTAAAATCAAAATAAAACCCCAAACATATACATATATATTTATAACTTATACACACACACACACACACACACACACACACACACACACACACAGAGTAAAAAGCAACAAAAAATGCACTTAAAACTATTATTTATATGATTAAACCACAATATCGGATATTAATGTTTAGTTAGATGGGAGTTCAGGGAGTGCAGGAATGTGTGTGCGGGCATGTTTGGTCAAACCCTAGCTGACTTATAGACGTCACGTCTGATATTTAGCACTCAAAGTCTGTCATGTCTGCATACATGATCTCTTTATCCACCTCAAACGGGCACTAATTGCCAGCAACTAATCACATCACTGTCCTATTAGGCCTAGTTCTGCATCATTCCTCTCATCTGCAAAATTACCCAGGATAATTAGAGTAAATTATTAACGAGCTAGTTGCAGAGTCAACTACGCTATTTGGTGACCTCAGACACGTAAAGTCTGACCATTAGACATTTTATCTCTAATGGTTCGAGTAAATAAATGCATCCAATAAATCTACGGCGCATCGCTTTCTACTAAACTCCTGGGTGGAACATTGAGGAGTTTAAATGTGCTTCATTAGCGATCAAAAGTTTTAGTTTGATCAACGCTGCAAAGTAGTTTCACTCTAAAGATGGGTTTTTAAAGTAGCTCGAGCTTTTAAACCATCTAGTTTAGTTGACTGTTGGGAACAGTGGAGCTCACATGGGCTCCCAAAAGGCAATAAACGTTCACACTTTTTTTTTATAGACAAAGGTGTCACATGACTCAGAAACTGACTGCGTATTTGTCTAACCTGTTCAGGGCCCATGTTGGCCATGCTGCCCCCAGGTCCAGAGTTCATAGAGCTCATGCTCATCTGGTTGCCCATTTGGCCCATGCTGCTTGAGTTGGTGGCCATGGACACGTTGAGGTTCATGCCGTTACCATTGTACATGTTGTTACCGGCCTGCTGGGCAAACTGAGGTGGCGACTGCTGAGTGAACATACTGTGGAGGGAAGCAGATAAATGTATAAGACCGTTCAGGTTTCGTTTAGCTTCCTGAATTTAAAACTTTAAACATATTTCATGTCTGATCAAATTTCACACACACACTACTGTTCAAAAGTTTGGGGTTGGTGAGATTTTTAATTAAGTCTCTGATGTTCACCAAGGCTGCATTTATTTAATTAAAAATGAACAGTAATATTGTGAAAAAAATAGTAAAATTTTTTAAATAATTGTTTTTTTGTCTGAATATATTTTAAAAAACATCATTCTTGTGGTGGCAAAGCTGAATTTTTAGCAGCCATTACTCGAGTCTTCAGTGTCACATGATCCTTCAGAAATCATTCTGATATGCTGATTTGCTGCTAAAGAAACATTTATTATTATTATTATAATATAGAAAAATATTACAGAATAATATTATATATATTATTACCTTCTTATTAATATGTTGAAAATAGTTGTGTTCCTTAATATTTTTGTGGAAATCATGATTAATTTTTTGGGGATTCTCTGATGAATAGAAAGTTCAAAAACAGCATTTATTCAAAACTAATCTTTTGTAACAGTATAAATATAATCATTGTCACTTTCGATCAATTTAACATCCTTGCTGAATTAAAGTATTCATTTCTTAAAAAAAAAAAAAAGTTTTGCTGACCCCAAACTTTTAAGCAGGGGTCTGGGTCACCGCATAATTGGTTTAAAAATCAACTGCTCCGCCTCCACTGATCACCATCAGCCAATTAGTCTAGGCAGGACAAACACTGACACATTTGACACAGCACAGGCATAGAAAGGCACAATTATCAACAGTTTAACACAACTTAAGCTTGGCTTAAATGATAAACTGATCATCTGATTGCATCAGTAGCTCATGTGTTACATATAGATTTACTGTGGCAAAGTACAAAGATGGATGTTCTGGATTATGTCAATTCTGAATCTGATGATTCAATCTTAATGTCTCTGATCTGTTGAATTTAGCTGATTACCACAGAATGATTTCAACTCGTTCTTGAGTTTGTAAAAAAGAACGCAAAATGCAATTAGTATTTCATTTTTAATGGAAGCCTAACAGGGTCGCCGAGTGGGTGGCAAAGTCTAAAATATGCAAATGATCACACTATTTGATTTTAGAAGCTGAGCTGTGAATCATAATAATTTTCAGTGGTAATGGACAGCATGCTGCTTATAGACATTAAGTTGGAAATAACCTGAAGTATTCCTGTAATATATTCTTATTACATGTGGAAAAAAACATTAAAGTGACTCTTCTGCCCTCTAGTGCCACATTCTAGATTCATAACATTATGATCTTTCAAGGGCACTACATAAGGACAATTATTTAATACTGATTAACTAGCATAAAGTGCTAAATAACCCAACCTAGCTCACAGTACTTGACTAGACAACTATAAACAGATATTTAAAAACCCAAATACTCACTGAAACAGTTTTTAAAGTTGAGATTATGAAACATTACTAGATACTAATGAATTTTGGTCTTTAGTTTTATGGCAGCATCTAATCTCATAATACAGTACATGGTAATATAATCCAGAAAATATAAATCTCATTATGAACTCTCTTCATGTGTTATTGTATACTATTATAATATTTATTAAGATTTTAAAATTAGATTTTATTTTTATATTTTCAGTTTTCATTTTATTTAGTAATTTTGTTACATGCTTTTATTTTTTATTAGTTTTTGAAAGGTTCTATTTAGCTCTATTTTTATATCAGTTTTAGTAATTTAGAACTTCAACTTATTTTAGTTATTTGCCAAGGCAATATTTCAAAATTTCATTTAAAGGGATAGTTCACCCCAAAATGAAAATATTGTCATTAATTACTCACCCTCATGTCGTTTCAAACCCGTAAGACCTTCGTTCATCTTTGGAACACAAATTAAGATTATACAAGGCGTAAAGCTGCACCTGTTGGCATTAATGCTGCCCTGTGTCCAGCCGTTCATGTCAGGGGAGGACTGAAAAGAGGTGTTGCCCTGCGCCTGTTGCATCATGGGACTCTGGGCGTGGCTCATCCTGGGAGACATGAGGGGGCTCTGAGGGGTGGTGGCACCACCGAACCCGCCGTCCGACTGCTGACTCATACCTGACACACATACACACGCAGACATGAAGAGACAAACTCTGGTTCACAATAAACATACATCAAAGAACTATTTAACACAAATTAGGTAATTATTACTGTACAGCACTTTGCACATCATATTCACTCTCACGCTGTCAGACAACATCCAAATTTAGCACCTAGAAATTAATTATAACTGCAACTACGAGAAGAACAATTACTGAAAATTACAAAATCTAAATCTAAACACATTTGTTGTTTAGATTAGCTGATCATCATTTTTAGAAATATCAAAGCAGAAATCATATTGAGAATATTTCAGCCCATCTTCATAATCAAAAGTGAGGAATCAAGAGTATACTAGAGGGGTTTAGAGGTGTTATAAGCAGGCAGTACGGCAGAGTTACACATGCAGGTTAGTGTTAGTGGCTGAGACAGCCAGAGAAAAGAGGGACATTTTTTAAATTTGTATCTGTTAATATTATTTAATGGAACTTAGCTAACATGAACCAACAATAAACAGCTGTATTTTTATTAAATTAAGTTTACAAAGATACTGTAACAAATGTATTGCTTATTATTATTTAATGGGATAGTTCAACCAAAAATGAAAATTCTGTCATTAATTATTCACCCTCATGCCGTTCCTAACCCGTAAGACCTTCGTTCATCTTTGGAACACAAATTAAGATATTTTTGATGAAATCCGAGAGCTTTCTGACACTGCATAGACAGCAACACAACTGAAACGTTTTAGTTCATGTGACATCAGTGGTTCAACCATAATGTTATGAAGCTATGAGAATACTTTTTGTGTGCAAAGAAAACAAAAATGACGACTTAATTCAACAATTTCTTCTCTTCCGTGTTGCATTCACGAGTGTACCACGACGCATGCGTGTGCATTCCTCTGCTTGCAAACAAGGCGCAGCGCATCCTGGTTTTGCGTCAGAACGCCGGTGTCCTGAC